TCAGTTTTTTTTTAAGATTGAAATTGTTCTTAACCTTTCGATTTCACAAGAAATTGGAAAGTATTCAACCGTATAATTTTTGTGGGTTGAAGTGGTTGTCAAAGAAGACTGGCGACCAACAGTCACCGAGTCGAGCCAAGATCTATTGCATCTTCAAAGGTTGGTATATTTAGATCTCTTTGTTTAGGGTTTATATGAATGTTGGATTAAGTTTTTTTTTTTTTTTTCAAGTTTATGTTTGGATTTGTGGCCCATATTCAAGATTGGGCTTCTGTTTGCGTTCAATGGAATTTTGTTAAGATTGGCATTTTGCTAAGTCTAAGTTGGTTGAACAACCAACCTAGACTGTACTGGAGGCATGCACCATCATAAGGGTCCATGTAAGTCACGTTTCTGACCCTCCTAATTACACCTTTTTTATGAATCTACTACATCTGAAACTCATCCAAGAACTTAGTGATATTCATTATTTGCTAGAATGATTTTCATTGATAAGCAGTCTTGCTATCCTCATATGTACAGTTTGCCAAAAAAAAATCTAATTTTGCAATGCTGGCTGAAGGAAAATATAGTTACAAGTACATACTCTGGGAACTGTGAGTTTAGGAATGCATCAACTAGCATCTGTAAAGAAAGTGAGGAGGTGAGACTTCGCAAGGGAGTTCCTGTTGCAAGTATGTTTCCCATCAGCTGCTAAACTTGCTCTGAATCTAATATGCCCTAGTCAGGGGCTATTCAAGTAAAGGAAGTAGGAAGATAATGAAGTGTTCTTGCTTTACAGGGACCCATAGAAACAGGGAGTTTGTGTCTCAATGCAGACACTGAAGCATCCAATTTGTTTAAATTAGCTTACTATGTTGAGAGATTGGTTTAGAATGGGGATCCTTGGATTCCTAGCAGTATTTTCTGAATCTCTTTTCGCCGGAGATTGTTTGCTATTAAACTTCGATCGCAACTCTCAGGGAATCCAGGGGCCCGCTAAGATAGGTGCCTTATTGAGGGACCAGGACCACCACGCTAAGATGTTAATGACTTATTCCCATAAGCTCAACGTATTTAGCTCAAATGAAGCCAAGATCTTGTCGCCAATCATTGGTCTAAGAATTTTGGGGACAAAAAGGGAAGAAATACTAATAGAAGGGGACCATCCCATGTAATACCACAAGGTATTGAAAGGAAAACTGTCCTTGGCACTAAACAGTGTGATCGAATAATATTTTGGACTTAGGAAAAACATAAGGGTAACACTTTCTCATTCATTCGAGAAACAAAAACAAATGAAGAAGCAGATACATTGCCCAGGGAAGCACTATTATCCATTTTAACAGCGACAAATTTCTCAAAGTTTAGTTAGACGATGACTTAAATCTGGTGAGGTCAATTGTAGAGTCTGCGCATATAAAGTCAATTTTGTAAAAAAAAGGAAACACACTTAGTTGTACATCAATTTGATATTAATAAACTTTAGTTAACAAAACCCACCCCGGCCCCCTCCAAAAAAACCAAAAAAAAAAAGGGAAGCTAAGCTTGTGCTTGAAAGTTAAGAAATCATCGATCACCTTCTCACACACAACAATTTGGATAGAAAGACAAGGAACTTATTATTGGACCAATGGAGGTGTTCTTGGGTGATCTTAACTTCAATTGAACACCTCTGGTGCTATCAATCACTATAATTACTTCCTTTGAAGGTCCTACCATGTGGAAGTTAAGCTTCCTGGGTACCATCTAGTCATGTGCGATGCAGGTACTTCAGTGAGAACAGCCTCTAGAGATGATGAGACAGGTAATACAGAAGTAGATTATCTCTTAGGCCTTGGTCTTCCAAAGATTTTGGGGATTCAGGGTTCAAGATTTCACTGCTAAGATTTATATCATGCTGAACCACAAATATGTGCAAAAATGCAGTAGTCAGCTGATGAGGTTCACAATGAGAACATCAAAACCACATTCATATACGCTATGCTTGAGAATTAACGGTGCATTCAGGAATTTGGAATTAAAAAAAAATTACAGAAGAACTCGACCATTTTGAATGAATTGTCCGTCACTTATCAAAAACAAACAAATCAGCAAAAATTTTAACGAAAGACCTGAGGCAAATTTTGTCAAAAGATTTTGTAAACAAACCAAAAAAGATCATCTAGAGTTGAAGAATCTAAGAGAATGTCACTGTCACAAATACACAAGTTATTTAGAACACTCAACTATATCTTCAATTTCCCAGTAATTTCCCCGGGGGGAGAGAGATGTCCTATGATTTGGGGCAATTATTAGGTTTTAATTTATTTAAGGCTTCATTCACAACTAACCTACAGGTTCTTGGAATAACTGCCAATCACGAGACTAACTGAAAGTCATGCAGCTTTGATAAAAAGAAGAAGAAATGCACAACAGAACAATTTAATACCCTTGTTATGAAAGCCCTAATTCTTAGGAAATGCACTGCATAAAGCAACTTCACACGAAAAGCAACATAAATCCAGAACAGATAGAGGGGAAACAAAGACAACTCCAAATAATTAAAAGTAAATGTCATAACATGCAGAAAAAATGCAACTTTAGAAGACCCCAACCCATGCAAGCTGGGCAACAAAAATCCCAATTCCGGAGAAAACATCTGACATGCAAGTCACAAAAAAAAAAAATAGCGAAACAGTAGCAGAGAACTGAAGGTAAACCATCAATAGCATAAACTTCATGAAGGGAAACTCAACATTACAAGGATTTACAATCAGAAATGTTTCTATAAAACTCTGGACTACAGAACTCCAAATTCACATAAACAAATTCGACAAATTCGACCTCACAAGTCAATAACAAAAAACCCTAGCTATCAATCCCAAAGATGCAAAAAAACCAAAAATAAATAGAGGAAAGGGAGGAAATACCTTGAAATGGAGGATCAGAAACGAAATGACTACTACAGACTACCTCCATCAAAACTCAAACCACGCTCCGTTTCCTCACAGTAAAACAAAGGATCCGCCATTATAGAGCTCAAAAACAGGGTTTTCTTCCTCTTTGTTCTCCAATACACAGTGCTCTAAGGAGCTTCTCTTTTTCAGAGGAGAAATCTCTTACTCTTCTTTTGCTTTGTCCCTCTTTCTCTCTCTCTCTAACTCTGTCCACCCCCTCCCCTCTCTCTCTCTCTCTCTAACTTTCTTTTAGAGAGGAGGGGCGGAATCAAAGGGGGATTATTAAATGGGATTGATGAGGTGCACTTGCCGTCCGGGGGCGGAGAGGGGACCACGCTGGCGTCTTGGTACCAGTCAAACTTAATACGTGGCATTATAAGAATAGGACACGTGGCTGGAAAATAGTACAAAACTTTTACTTTATGTTTTTTTAAAGGAGATTGACACGAACGAAGTGGAAAAAGTTGCTTTCACTCTGAAAAAAATACGAGGAGAAAACCAAAGACAACGTTTTAAAAATGGAAAAAGTTTATCCAAGGTTGCAACATTCATATGTAGAATTCCATATGCAACCCATAAATCCATCGAAAAATATTGTTTTAATATTGAAAAACTCTCTAATTGATTATCAAAACATCAATATAAATAAATAAATAAAATTTGAATCATAAAAATAGTGTATCTTGCAACATATTATCTTAGATGGTTCATTTTCAATATTTTCATATATTTATAGAACTACTTTGTTTTAAGGAGTTTAAAATTTTATAATTAGATATAAAAATATATTTTCAGATAATTCTAAAAAAATTTTACACCAAAATTATATGTTACGGTAAAATTTGGAGTCACAACCTTATAGAAACTGCACCCTTAAAAAATTTCAAAATACATTATAAATGTAGGCTCGCAATCTTTATTTTGGCAACATTAACTTATATGAATAAGCTTTATGTTACGTTCTTTCATAAATTACTTTCAGTTTCTTGCCTACACAATTCTATTTCCTTCCTTAATGAGTAAGGAGAATACTAATTTCATCAAAAAACTACCCTTTTTTAATAAGATAATTATGAGAAAAATCAATCTTTTATAAATTTGAAAATATGTAACTTTTTTTTAAACATGTCTACACCCATGTTTTTACTTTCTATATTTTACCAAAAATACATTTTACAGTTCTATTCGAACCGTGATATTCCAACGCATAAATCTCACAATGGTTTTATAGAGTATCACATTACTAATAGTAGCGTGATGCTTCAATGTCCTAAAACAGCCATCAAGGTACTATTAGTGCCATGATGATTCAAAGTGCTTTAAACCATTATGGTACTAATAATGCCATCATTGTTTAGGACCCTATTTTATAGACCACCCCAAGGACTATTGCAATACTATTAGTATCGTGATTGTATGGGACGATCAACAAAAGAATGTTGAACCGTCACGGTAAGTATAATAGTCTATAAAACAACTTGACGCGTGAGTATTGGACCATCATGGTTCTAATAAAACTATGGAGGGCATTTCCAGTAAAAATTTATTGAAAGTTAAAGAACCTATGGCCATAGTTTTCAAAGAATTTTGCATTTTTAAATTTCTTAAAAAAATATTTCTGATAAGTACCCTTTAAAATCAATGTTGAACTCTATAAACATGGCATTTTAGATATCATGTTGTCGCACCTGATAACTTCATCACCCATTATGAAAACTTAAATCTATTGCTGCAAGTAGTTGCAACTACATGCGAATGCCCGCACATACTTGGTTTTCAATCGGTATGCATACAGTTGATGGTTCTACAACATTATTCGTAACATTTCCATAGTTGCAATTGATACAATAAGGGTGCTGTTGTATAAAGCTGCAATCTTGTTTGTAGAAATAAGGTTGCGATACTCTACACCATTCATTGACACATTTTTAAGATGGTGTTAATAAATGACACGTCTTCTAAGCTGGTGTTCAATCTACACCGTCCAAATAAAATAAATAATATAGATCAATAAAACCTCATTTCTACAAATAAGATTGCAATCTTATATGACCTTTATCCATACAACAACCTTATTATGCAATTTGTATAATAGTTCAAGATTGCAACCTTATTATGCAATTTGTATAAGATTGCAACCATATTATGCAATTTGTATAAGATTGCAACCTTATTATGCAATTTGTATAAGATTGCAACCTTATTATGCAATTTGTATAAGATTGCAACCTTTATCCATACAATAAGGATGCAATTTGTATAAGATTGCAACCTTATTACGCAATTTGTATAATAGTTCAAGGATGCTTGAGAGTATCTATTGATTGACATGGACCTTTTGTTTCTTAAAGATTTTAAGTATTGAATACCGTTTTATACTTGCTTTTGGTATACCTAGTGAACCCCTGCAGAGAATGATGAGCTCTAATCCATCGTAGAAAACTCGAGCACCATTTGATGGTCAAATTTCAATAAAGGAGTTCCATTTTCTATTGTAATTGTCTCTAATTGTGATTTCATAAATTGTCATTTTTTAGTCAAAGGCGTTTGATTTGAGAGAAATTTATGCACCTGTCCCCTAATATTTGTTATTTAAATTTATCTATTTTTTTTTGTTATTGCGTTAATTACCCATTTTTCTCAAACTCTTAAAAATAGCAAAATTGTCAATATTTGGGATCTTTATATATTTAAAAGTTTTAGATCTTAAAAATTTGAAGTAAAGATTGTCCAAAATGCTAGATTTTGAATATATGAAATAATGTTTTTTTTTTAAAAAAAATTTGAAATCTATTCCACCTAGAAAGTACAAAATATTTAGTAACTTCCAGGCCTTCAAGATTCAAATTAGACATAATTCATTTTGCATCAAGGGCTCAGGACTGCCTAATGAGTACTTAAATGCCTAAATCAATGTCTAAATATTTCTTTGATAGTTCGATATTGTGTATGAATGCCACCATCACCTGCTTGATTTTGATTTTATGCAAAACTTTTGTATTGAAGGGAGGGGGGGTTCATTAGCCACTAGCTTGAAGCCAAGGTACGGCAAAAAGGAGCGGAGCTCATGTGCACGACCAGCCTCATATAACGCCCAAAGGCATTTTGAACGATGTACAACACGATTACAATGTCGTACTTTCTTCCATGCGTTCATGGCAAGGCAAAGAGGTCACTCTATAAATGGTACATGAGTCACATGAGAGGTCATACCCTGAACTCCCTTTACACTTGGAGAAGCTTCAAACCACCAGCCCAGTGCACACCCAGACATATTGTGAAAGATAGGTTCAAATATCTCTCTTGTTGTCTTTCTTCATTGCCTCGAGAGTCTTGGAAACGGATGCAGGCTGCTAGTTCATCTTGATAGGATACTCTGAAAAGGGATATAAATAAGGATTTTGTTATGTGCAATTGGCGAGCCTTTGTAGTGGTCAAGAATGAGAACTATGATAACTGGCATTAGTTCTTGAGTTTGAATGAGTTGTTCCATGAGAATTCCAATATACTTGTACCGGCCATTATATCTGATCGACCGAAGGGTTGCAACAAGCAACCCAACAAAAGTCTCCCACTCGCAACCCCCTGTACTGGATACATCATTTAACAAAAAAATTTCAAGAAGCAAACTCATCAATGCTGACTTCTGAGAATGCTATTCTTTAAGGTTTCCCCTAAATTGACTATATCGGAGTTCGAAAGTAAAATGCTGAGATACAGACTGCTGACCTAGATTCATAAAAGCAAATTCTGCAACATCCCCACCAAATTATGGGCCAATGTCCATTTCCCAGGGGCTATAAACGAACATCTAACCTCAAACTTCATTGAGTTTTTTGAAAACTGAATATTACTTGCTCGGAACAACCCATCATTGCATTGTGTGAATACCTCACAGTAAAGCTGATGAGTAGATTCTCAAAAAGAATGTAAGAAGCAAGTAGGTGGAGTACAATCTTCACAAAAGTAGATAGATATGTGAAAGTAGAAGGCAAGGTTTCTACAGAATGTAATATTGGCAGTGGATAGGTATTATGAGATCCATTTTGCAGGCAAGAAATTCGATGTCGATATAGCTAGATGGCCATGCAATTGTAGGTTATGGTAAATTAGTGGGTTACTGCATAGTCACACCATCACTGCTATAAACCACATGTACCTTAAGGTCATAGTGTTCTGCAGTACTTACTTCCCATTGGATTTTTTCAAGAGTGTATACATAGTTTTCTTTGAGCCTATACCACCGGATGCCATGGAATTGTCTGTTATGTTTAATAGGGCAGTGTTGCTACCAAGGATGCAACACCCTGTTGGTCGGCCTAAGAAGAAACATAGATGGACGGAGGTCGAAGGCACCAAGATATGCATGTGCAAGCACCGCGGCAACAAGGAACATAATAGGAGGACCTGTAAGTTACTCATAGGCAGTCAAAGGACTGAGACATCTTCCAAGTTCGTGGACCATTCATAGCATCCAACAAATGTTGTTGCAACTATAAAATTTGACAAATGCATACCAATGGTCCATTGATATATTATCTTTATTGACATGAGAGCTTTCTCATCTTAGTATTTTCTCTACCTTTCTTTTAATTTATTTTTCGAATAGAAGTGTCCGGACCCACTGCCGTAGTACGGAATTTGAGAAGTAAGAAACTAACTGCTGCTTCGCGGTTAATTTATTCATCAAAACTGGTTACTCTCGATCCTTTTCTCAAATCACATAAATTGATCTTATTCAATATTCGTGAGTGACATTACAAGGATTGAGTTATCCAAATACAATCTAGTAACCTAATCCTTGTGGTTCTAGAAGTCTGCCTAAAAATCAAGGAAGAAAAATAGCAGAAACATAAAGAACATTGCGATGGCATGAGCTGATCAACACTCCAATTGAAATTTCATTGCTTTCAAGATCAATCTCCTTTAAAAGGTTTTTTTTTCCTAAAGCAAATAAAAGTTGTTTGCCTTAGCTGGATGTTTCTTATTAAATATGTTTTGTTGTGTTCATATCAAATTTTCAATCCATATATTAGTGCCTCTCTTAGAAAAAATTACACAAGAATACAATTTTTTTTTTTTTTTTAGCGCAAATAAGAACTTCTATAGCCTATCAGTTGCCCTTGGACAAAAAAAAATTGGATTTTCAACATCCAAAAATATTTGAAATGTTGAATGTTGAAAATCTAAAATTGTTATTGTTCTCCCATTGGTCCTAGGGCACAGCAGTTGCCTTGGGACTAGAAAAAACTTC